CGCGCACCCTTCATGTAATTCGCGGGTGCGACTGGTCGCCGATGGGCTATCGGCGACTGCGCGCCGCCCGCGCGATCTCCCATCTCCACAGTATCTTCCGGCGCTGGGAACCTGGATGATTACCTCACTTAGCGAGGCTCGCTGAAAGGCCTAAGTCTCTGCGACCGTAGTCTGTGAGGGATTAAATGACTACGAAATTTTCGTAGTCATTATTGGCATAGTCATACAGAAGTGCGAACATGCCCTGTTAGTATTTCAGACGCAACATTCGCTAGAAAGACGGTCTCTGTGCCACCAATAACAGTATTGCTTTTTGCAAAGGAGTCCAGACCTCCCAAGACCGCGACCAAATATCACGAGATGAATCGAAAGCGGATAATCAATGTTCGATAATATTACGACGTTAAGACTGCCATTATAAGGGGCAACGACTCTCGGCGACTAATAATGGATTGTACACCGGCCTAGTAGGAATCACTCGTCGTATAGATCGGCGACTGTAAGCCCTGAAATCCATTAGCGCCATCACGCCCCATGAAATCTCACAACAAAGAATAATGATTCGACACAAGCTCTCTAGACACTAGACAGTGATATATCCTTTATGCGACGAAATCCAATCAAACCTAAATAATAGGATTCCTCTCTTCCTCAATAGTGAGCTTAGGATCCTCAGATTCGACCTCTACTTCCCCTGTGGAACCGCGTCTGCTTCGCATCCACCTCTCGAATAGTGAACCAGAAGTAGCCGAGGTATCATCACCGTCGGCCATGATACGCTCGTTCATCCTGGCATTAGGTATCAACCAGAGAAAGAAGAGCGACGTGGCACTTAAGCCTATCAGTATCAATGACACAATCCAGAGGTTGTCAAACTGCTCCGATTCGTCAACACCAGGTAGGCCTCGTGGGACAACTCCCAAAGATTGACTGATGAAGCCTGCAATAGGGCGTGTAACATTCTGGGCATAGTTCGATAACGATGCCAATAAGGCGAACATAGTAGCTTCCATATTCTTAGGGCATAAATGAGACAGGATGAGGAACCCTGGCATGAACT